TTCCTGCAAGGCGATTACGTGGTAGTTGATGCGCCCTGCAGCTTCGAGAAGGGCGTGAAGATTGGCGTTGTTGTAAACGATTACTGTCAGCTACAATTCCCGCTTCACTCCATCTAGTAATTTTATCAATTTATCTTATAATCATACGGTTGTACTTTTTCTACCCAAATATATACCTTTTCTACTGTGGATGAATTATGTGTAGTGAAGTGCTTCGCGTCTCCTGCGAAAATTCTCAAACTGGCATTTTCTCGGAGAGCTGGGTTCAACACTTCAAAAAAAAATTCTAATAGCATCGTATGTGCATCCCGGCTTAGAGGCGGAACCCGCAGCGGTTATTTATCCCAAACTTGGAGCCCGTCCATAGCAAAAGGTCATGCGCTTTATCATGAGCGCTTTTAAGTAGAAGTAATATTAAAAGTTAGTCGTCTATTTACTTACAGCTGGTCTTCAGCTTTATCTGATGTGATATCTAGTAATGAGTACTCTGAACCATGCCATATTATCGGGAAGTTGTTCGAGTTCCTTTCTTACTCATACTAATTCCTCTCTCATTTTCAATATTTGACTCGTTGACAGTCCTTTTTCCTTTCTTTCGTAACTACAGGTGATCCTCTTCTATGATGAAATCGATGCTGTTGGAAATAAGCTATCGCTACTATGCCCACCGCAGCGCGGGGCTGGCGCACTGCGTCTCGGCCGTTGGCTGGTTTGCCAAATACTGGGCCTCGCAGACAGCCCGGCTTAAGTATTCAGATTTGGACTGAGTCGTTTCATTATGAACTTATTGTTTTTTTTGTCGTCTTTTTTTTCATATAGGACTGTCATGTTATTGTAAATACGATTAATTATTGCTTGATTTTCAATACCAAAATTTATTACAGTATTCATCATTGGACATCTGCGTACTTACTTTAAAACATACCCATAAACAACTGGAAAGCTGAGGCTGTTTCTGCATGGCAGTTTCCTTCTCACTTGAGGAAAGTATTTTTATTGAAAGAAATGTTGCACGCGAAGTAAAAGAATATCTATTAGGCGGATGCCGTCAAGAATTACGTGAGTTTTCACTATTTTTCCTTGAATCTTTTCAGTTGACTGCCTTCAGGAACTTTTGTGAAGAGAACTGTTAGCAGCAGCAGTGAAGAGGAAATCTCTCGTGATACTGAAAAGCCTGCGGGGGTTCGCGACTGGGATTTCCCAGCTGAGGTGGCAGTGCTTCGGTGTTCTTTCCTCTAATGCCGTTTTTTCACCGTTCGCAATTCAGGAAGCGGTAAACATTGCTGTCACTGATGACGATGATTCGCCGCTTAATTGGCTTTCCCAATGTTTCTTAGTTACATACAACTCATTAGATTATATGCTACTGGTAAATCGCCAAAGATTTGCTCTTTTAAATAGGTGAGTTATAAATTAGCTTGTTTTTCCTGGCAACTGTTCCGATTTTTTTTGGCATTGAATTTCAATGCAGTGTCACTTTTATGTTGATTGTATCGCATTCATTTTCATTTGCACAACCCAGCGT